ATTTTTGAGAGAGAAAGAGAGCAAGCACGAGTGGGGGAGGGGCAGATAGAGAGGAGACAGAGAATCCCAAGCAGGGTCCGTGCTGTCAGTGCAGAGCCTGATGTGGGGCTTGAACTCATGAACCATGAGATCATGACCTCAGTTGAAATCAAGAGTCAGACGCTTAATCGACTAAGCCACCCAGGCGCCCCAAGCCCACATTTTTTCTTAAAAGATTTATTTATTTAAGTAATGTCTACACTCAGTGTGGGACTTGAACCCTGAGATCAAGAGTCTCATGCTCCACTGACTGAGTCAACCAGGTGCCCCCCCCCCCAAAAAAAAACCCCACAACATTTGACTTATTTTCTTGAATAGGAGAAAAAGCAGTAGAATGTAGCTGGTGCTATAGGTACACCTAAACTTGGGCATGATTCTAGGAATATGTCATATTGGGGCGCCTGACTGGCTCAGTCGGTTAAATATCTGACTTCGGCTCAGGTCATGATCTCATGGTTTATGAGTTTGAGCATCGCTTTGTGTGAGCCCCGCTTCTCTCTCTCTCTCCCTCTCTCTCCCTCTCTCTCTCTCTCTCTTTCTCTCTCTCTGTCTCTCACTCGCACCCTCACTCTCTCAAAAAAAAAAAAAAGGAACATGTCATACTATTTCATGGCAAAATCACCATTGTCTGGAGGGGAAGAAGAGATTAGGAAATTAGAGAATAGATTGTTCTGAAACAGTGAACTCTCCTAGAGCTTACTGATGTGAAGTGGTTAAATCTTTTGTCCTAAGATCATGCTGTAAATGGAATCAACTCCAACGCCTAGGTGTTTGAACTCCTAGGGATTTAATCTGTGGTTGGAAATATACCTATTATTCTTTTATATTTTTAACAGCTCAGAATGCAGAACTTCAGGGAAAGGCAAATGAGATCGAGAAAGCATTCCAGACTTCTCAGCTGAAATGGAAAGAAGAGTGCAGAAGATTTGAACGTGATTTGGAGGAAAGAGACAATATAATTCAAAATTGCAATCGAGAACATGATTTACTTATGAAAGAAAAAAGCAGACTAGAGAAAACTCTACAGGTACCTTATTTTTATAAAGGAAATTTTCTATATTCATTGAGATGTGTTACATGTTATTTGAAGTTATCCTTGGAAAGGAAAATAACTACCAGAAATCAAGAAAATCTGGTTTCCTCTCACCCACCCTGTCTCTTTCCCTCTCTTTCCTTTCAGGAGCATTTTTGTGGGTCTCTTTTGTAATATGCTTTAGCAATACGTTAATATGTACACTGTCTCTTTTATGAAAAACAGTTTGAGATCTCTGATCAAACTAAAAGAACTCAATTTATGTGGGATTATAAGAAGATGAGAACCTATAGCCCTTTAGGTCCAGTAGCATGAAAATTTAGAATTTTAGAAATGTGGGCCCTAGATTTAGGTCTGAATATCTAATAGATACAAAAAATATTTATGTCTCTGATGTAAACTTCATTATCTATGTAGACCCCTTTCTATTTAGACATGACATCAAAAATATTTGATGACCTTTTACTGAGCTATTTATTTTCCCATTTTTTCTTTTTTTTTCTTTTTCTTTTCTTTTTTTTTATTCTCTAAAGTAAAAGTATGACTTAAGGTTGAATTTGCCTACACCTTAAAAGATAGCTTTTTGATTGCTTATATTTGCCATTTTTTTTGAAGCACCAGTTTAAAGTAAAAAATACATGATAGAAATGCTTTATATTTGCCACTGGCATATATGGCTTTTCTGAATTCTGGAAATCTTTATTAAAAGTAATTTTACACAAGCATTTAGTCAGTGTGAAAGTTTCAGTATAAGGGTTCCATGGCATTGTCAGCAGATCTTCTGATTTTCTCCATGTCAGACACAGTTTGTCTCTTGTCTTTGTGTGATGTTCCCAGACCATAGAACAGTGCCTGGTATGTGCAAGGGCTCCCTTAGTAGCTGAATGGGTGGAGCCTAGGTGCCTACTGGTGCTCCAAGTCCCTGGGTGGCCCTGTATAACCTTAGGTCTTGCGGCTACGGCTACGTGGAAAGAAACATAATGGCAGTAGCCTTCCTTAATAGTCCATCAGCCTGCACCTCAAATTATAAGATCTTTCTGTGATCTTGCCTAGCTACTGGATAGGAGAACTCTGCTTAATTTTATGCTATTGGCTTTGAATTGATCTGCACAGACTTTGCGGGTATTTGGGGTTGAATAGGAGTCACACTATTTCAGCAGAGGGGAAAAAGCTTGAGTCCCTTTGTGATGGTTTCCATTAGTGAAAGTTATAAGGGTAATCTTTATTATGCAGATCCCTTCTGTTTATTTAGACACAGAAGGCTTCTTCTCATATAAGCCACAGACTCTTTCTCCTTGTGTTAATGGGAACTTAGTTTTAAACCCTATAGATTAGAAAATTGGGCTTCTTGGGGACCTGCATTTTATATTTTTAAGAGTTTGAACCAAATTAGATCTTGTAAATGTAGTACAACTAGGAAAACCCAAAAGAAAAACCTTTTGCAAGTATTATCTGTAGAACTAGAAATTAGTTGCAGTCCAAACCTTAAAAATTTTTTTTTTGACTTTTCAAATTTTTAACATTCTGATTTGTTGCACAAAACTCCTTCCTTCTCACCTTTGGTAAATACAGGTTCTCTGTTAGATTTGTACGTAAATTACCAGGAATAATCCAGTTTGTTCATAGGTAATTAGATCTTTACATGTTACCTACTTTACGTGTAGATTTACATATAGATTACATATAATCTACTTTGTTTTTGTCTCTGTGTCATATCATTTTGTTCAAACCTCTGAAGTTAAATTTTTTAGAGAAATTGGGTTAAACATATGCCTCTCTCTCTTTCTTTCGCTCTTTCTCTCTCTCTAACGTTGTTTAAATTAAATGGATAACCTTAGTTTCTTATTCACATCTACATTCTGATGATCAAAACATGATATAGTTCTATTAATAATTTTAACATAAATTATGATGAGTTTTAGCAGTCTGTAGATAAGGCGAGCCCTTTGTATGCTTAAATTGGGGCTGAAGGAAGAAAGATGACTTTCACTGACCTAATAGTAAAGCAAGATTTTATTCATATAAAGGAAGCATTGGAAAAACATCAGCAGGAGAAGAATGAGATGGAGTGTCATATCAGGGAGACAACATTGGAGGAGTTTAGATTACAAGCAGAACAATGGGAAGCAGAAAGAAGAGAGTTACAATTTATAGTACAGGTATTTAAAAAATAATAATTCAGTTCCTTAAATGTCTTTTTAATGCTTATGATATTAAAGCATTAGTGCAATAGTTGGCTAGCTTACTCAATGTAAAAATGATTCCTAGTCTTTGATTTCTGGAAGGTCATGTTTCATTTGTAGTTACATGATAATATGGGCAACTGTTACCAGTAGATACTATCAGAATTAGAGTAGGGCGACTTCATTGCACAAATTATGTGATTTTGAGAAGGACATATATACATTTGGTATTTTATTTTTCCAATTTAAAATATGCAATGGTTCACTTTAATAGCATAAAGAAATAGAATAATTGGATTTTAGATATTAAAGGATGCTTATAAGTTAATATAGCATAGTGATTTTTCAACTCTTTTTGTTAAGAGCAAATTCTTTTTTTTTTCTTGCTTTTTACGAAGATCATATTCTTAATTATGTTCTATTTACTCCTTTCTTCCAACACACCGAATCCCCAAGGCTTCAAATAGTCCAGTTGGAAAATAACTGATTACATCCAACCCCCACCGTAGATGAGCAGATGGAGATTTATGATTTACTCAGATCATAGACCGAGTAATTAATGTGGGAAAAGACAACCAGTCACCAGATTCTCACTCTGGGGTACTTTGCATTTTATTTCAGGAGATTACACATACATTATTTTGAAGGGAAGATAAGATAAATTCAAACTGTTAATTCACTAACCAACTAACTTAAAATTTAAAAGAAATTTTCGTCATTTCTTCTTTACTTATTTTTGTATAAGGCATTTTTTCTATATAAACCAATATAGTCTTTGTACATGTCCAAGATACGCATTCTTCACAGAATGAAAAATATCCATCTAAAAATTTTGGAGTAGTTTTGTGTTAGAAACAACTGTGCAAGACAAAGGCAGCCAAAAACATGCAGAGAATAAAAGCCACCCTATTTCTTTAAGAGTAAAAGCTGGCAGTAAACAGTGGAAATACTGGATTTGTTGTATATGTAAGTATTCAAAATACCAACAAATACTCAAACCTTTGGTCTTTGGGCAATGCTTTTCTTACTAGTTACCCCATCTGTAGAATCTGGTAAAACATTACAATCACTCTGTAGACCTCTTGGTATTCTTAGAGTTTGATTGTAATTTGTGTAGTTCACTCATTCATTCATTCATTCATTCATTCCTTAAGTACACACTGAGTTTCTGCTATGGGTATTGAGGATACAAAATTGAGATACGATTTCTGTCCTAGAAGATTTTAAAGCAGAGAGATATGTAAAGAGAGAAAATATATTGTAATATAATAAAGTTTTGAACAAAATTCTGTGGGATCATAAAAGAGAAATGTATTAACTGCCTAGGAGAATGGGGAAACCATCACAGAGTAGATGATATTTGAACTGTTGATAATGTTAAAGCCTACCTAAAACAAACAAGTAAACATTAGTAAATGAAAATAACCTCTTCATTTCTAAACACTCAGAAATCTCCAGTGCCCCCAATCAGTAGCCTGAAACTTATCAAATATGATTCAGAGACCTTTATATTTAAATGTGTGGATGATGTGATTTATTTATTTTTATTTATTTTTTAACATTTATTCATTTTTTGAGAGACAGAGAGAGAGCACAAGCAGGGGAGGGGCAGGGAGAGGGGGAGACATGGAATTCGAAGCAGACTCCAGGCTCTGAGCTGTCAGCACAGAGCCCGATTCGGGGCTTGAACTCATGAAACGCCAGATCATGACCTGAGCTGAAGTCAGATACTTAACCGACTGAGCCACCCAGGGATCCCTGGATGATGTGATTTAGATGCGATTTCTAAGTCACTGAACTGTATGTCATTATACCAGACTTTGTATTATGAAGTACTAAAGGAATATGGTACCAATCTTTTTTTTTCTTTGTTTCTTTGTTTCTTTCTTTTTTTTTTTTTTTTTAAGATTTTATTATTTCTTTTAAGTAATCTCTATACTCAACGTGGGGCTCAAACTCACAACCCTGAGATCAAGTCGCATACTCCACTGACTGAGCCAGCCAAGGAGCTCCTGTATCAGTCTTTAATTATTATGCATGGGAAAGAATAGGGAATATACTCCTAGTTACTACCACCTTTTGTAAGATATATTTTTTAAAGTTTTTATTTAAATTCCAGTTAGTTAACATGTAGTGTAATGTTTGCACAAGATAAGTTTTATTGTATTTTATAACTGAAATGTTCAGAGCTCAGTCTCTCACTTTCTTGTCCTTTTAGCATTAACAAAAGAAAACTGTCTTTCCTTTTTAAAGCAAATTTAAGAAACTATTCATATTTTTAAAAGTCTTTTTTTAAACAACTTGTGGGCTAGATTGAAATTCTCTGCTCTCCCTATTGGCTGTTGATGGGTTTAGGTTTCCATCCTATAATTAGATGTTAGTATGGTATAGTGTTCTCTTTGTGTAACTAACTCTCTAAGGGAATTCAGTTTTTAAAATAAGTTAAAAAAAAAAAAAACCTTCTAAGTGAAACCCCATCTTTAACAGACAAAGCAGGTGTAGTATTTCTTTCATCTGGGCTTTAGAATTCAGACCCACTATAAAAAAAAAAATGTTAATTTTATGTCATGTCTCCTTTCTTTCCTAGTAATTGAAACGCTAAATAGAGGTGTACTTCTCTGGAATATTAATGGGAACTCTAGTACAGTTACCTCATTTTAAAAAAGTGTTTCTCATTTTTTTAATGCATGCCCTTTTTTGATAAACATAAAAACTCCCCATCTTTCTTTAGCATCATTGAAATTTCAAAACAAATCAAAGGCAAAAATCCCCCACCAAAACAACAAATCAAAGCCAATTTAATTTAAAAACAAAGTATTAATATTGATTTTGAAATATATTACCTTTTTTTATCTTTATTAAAAATTTTAATTTAAAATGGCCGTTTGTTGTGTGGTTATTAGGTTTTCTTTATTCCTGCTATAGCAATGTGAACTTTGAGGATTCTTATTTGTTCTAAGCTTTTCTATTGTAGACAATGTGGGACAGGCAGCAGTAAAGGGTTGTTTTAAACCACCGTGCCCTTTTCTTTGTCATTTTTCCAGTTCATTTCAACGTATAAGTTACCAGTAGATTGAAAGCATTTGGGAGACCAGTGTATATTTTTACATATTTATTTTGTTTCCCAAATTCTATAACTCAACCAAGGAATAAAATGATCCTTTCCTCCTTCGTTGACTAAATTTGGTTTATGTATCTAGTGATTAAGGGGTAGGAGAGTTTGTAATGGCAAAGAGTATGAGAAATGTCAATTGAAAATTATATTGTACCCTAAAGACAGAGGGGGAAGAGTGGGGAGCAGTGAAAGGAGATATTAGAGCAGACTTAGGCCCTCAGCAGGCTGCGTATTAGGGATTGGAGGGCAGTGTGTAGAGATTGACCTGGTGGGCATGACTGCTTGGAGAAAGCCACATGGACAGGAAATATTTCAGATCATTCAGAGATGATCTAGACCAGCTAGGAGCATTTCTTTGCAGTTTCCTAGGAAACTGCCCACCGGGGCCCCATGTAAGCAAATGGCATAGACAGTGACTCTGGCATTGATACTGCCTGTTATTTTCAAACGGGAAATGCCTTTATACTCAATTTATAAAATTGCTATATATTGTGCTCATTGTAAAAATGCCCTAATTTAGGGAAACTTAAAAGCAAAAGTGAAGGTCTTACGACCACTCCTCGAGTCCCACTCCTTATCTGAGGGTATATAAACATATATCATTGAATTACATAAATGGAATTATATTCTTCAGTGTGTTTGGTGTCCATCTTTTGATATCCTTATATTATTCTTATAGGTGTCTGCATGGTTTTCTGCTATGTGGACATTCCTAATATATATTAAGGAATCCCTTATTGATAGACATTTCATTTCCTTCGAAAATTTTTTGCTCTAGTTAAAAATGATCTGGGGGTGGGGGGTGCCTGGGTAGCTCAGTCGGTTAAGTGTCCGAACTCAACTAGGGTCATGATCCTGCGGTTCATGAGTTTGAGCCACACGTTGGGCTGTCTGCTGTCATTGTGGAGCCCACTTTAGGTTCTCTGTACCCCTCTCTGCCCCTCCCCAACTCGTGTGTGCGCACAAGTTTAAATAAACATTAAAAGAAAAAAAAAAGATTTGGAGCACCTGACTGGCTCAGTCGGTAGAGCATGCAGCTCTTCGTCTTGGGGTTGTGAGTTCAAGCCCCATGTTGGGTATAGAGCTTTAAAAAAACAAAGAAAAGAAAAAAAGTAAAAAGCTAACCTTCCTGGCCATATCTTTGAGCTGTTGTAAAGTTATTGAACTGTGTAAATGCCTACAAGCATCACTGCTTTGGTGTGCAAGTTTATGGATTTATAATTATGATAAGTACTACACAAAGTTAGTGCCATTTTATACTGTATGGCTGCAAACACTATTTCTGATTGTAGAACTGTGCTGGCTTTGCAGATTTAGGGAAGAACAGCTTGTTCTGGTTCTTTCAGGAGATAAGCATTACTAGGTTAAGGTGGTAACTAGCTAAATTGATATATTTCATAAGGTAAGAAGGAGGGGTACTTTAGCTCTGATAAGTTTCTTTTTTTTCTCTGATATGTTTCTAACTATACTCATAATTCTTCAGACTTGAAACTGTATTTTGGAGTCTGAGAAATGTTTATATGAGTACAAATGAAATTAATACTTTTTGGGCTATGTTTCTGAAAGATGTGGAAAGAAAGCAAGTTTATTTTCTAATAGCACAATGTGGTTTTCTGGGTTGGTAAATGTCAGTTCAAAAATAAGCCTCATTTTAAAATATTTTAAGTTCAACACCTCCCTCTAGTGGAAGAAAGAAAAATTCCTTCAATTTCCATTGTCTTTAATTATGATTTGGTTACACACACACACCCACACACGCCACACTTACTTTTTCACTGTAAGCTTTTTGTTTTATTAGAAAATAAATTCTGTGACAAAATTTTTTAAAGTTTATTTGAAAGGAGCAAATTAATCTTGATATATAAATGCAGGAACTATTTTATAGCTCTTTTGGAATTTTCTTGTATGTTATAATGCATCCCAGACTTGGATTGTGTTGATAGCACCATAAACTTAAAACAAATATTTGAACATACAAAAAGTAACAGGGATTAATATAACCAGTACCTAGTATAACCTACCAATGCCATTGATAAAACTAATATTTACCATTTAGATCGTGTGTTTGTCGTATTTGTTTCAGAATTAAAAATAGATGAGCAATAAGTTGTTATATTATTTAAGACTGTTTTTTAAAAATGTTTTTTTATTTATTTAGAGAGAAAGAGAGAGAGTGGAGGGGGATGTGGGGGGAGGAGCAGAGAGTGAGGGAGAGAGAGAGAGAATCCCAAGCAGGCTCTACGCTGTTAGCACAGAGCCCAACTTGGGGCTCGATCCCACAATGTTGAGATCATGGCCTGAGCTGAAATCAAGAATAAGACATTCAACCAACTGAGTCCCCGAGGCTCCCCAGAACTTGCCATTCTTACAGAGATTTCACTGATTTTCTTGAATAAGTGCTTATTGGATTATTGCAAGCCTATGGTTAATTTCCAGTTATGAGAAATGTATTTTGGCATTTTTTGCACATGTTCTTGCTGCTTTTATGGAGGAAAGAATTTTTGGCAGTCCTTATACTCTGCCATTCTGAAATTACTTCTGTTCTCTGAAGATATTGTCAAGTTTTATTCTCTTTATATGTGTTTCTCTCAGGTTGTTTTTCCCCTTTCTCCTTGATTTAGATTTCATCTTTTATGTTGTCCCCCCCCCACCCCCCATAACTTTTTCATATGTTTAAGAGTTGGGGACAGAAGAGCTTATTAGAAGCTCTGAGCGTTTGTATTTGTTTTTTCAACTGTGATCTTCACTGTAGGGTTGCCTGGCTAGGTATTTGAAATGGATGCGTATATAATTCTCCTACCTACCCCAAATAACTTAACAAGAGGCAGAAAGTAGAAAACCTGATAGAATCAGTGTCGGAATTCCAGGTTATATTGCTTCACCAATAAGCAAAAAGAAACTCCAAGGAGTAAATAATTTCAATCTCATATGAACTCTGACAGAGAATGGAAAAATCTTGATAACGTACCAAACTGATAAATCTCTTAAAACAGTTTTTAAATTAATTAATTAATTAATTAATTAATATTTTTTAGAGAGAGAGAGTGAGCGCATGTGAGCAGGGGAGAGGGGCAGACGGAGAGAGAGAAAGAATCTTAAGCAGGCTCCATGCTCAGCACAGAGCCCAACTTGGGGCTTGATCCCATGACCCTGGGATCATTACCTGTGCTGAAATCAAGAGTCAGAACTCAACCAACTGAGCTACCCAGGTGCCCCCCATGTTTTTATGGAGCCTAAAAGTAGGCTCCACACCCAGCGTGGGGCTTGAACTCATGACCCTGAGATCAAGAGTCCCACATGCTCTACTGTTTGAACCAGTCAGGCACCCCCCAAAAACTGATAAATCTTGATGCTAAATTGACAAAGATACAAGAAAAGATAATTATAACCAATCTCACTAATGAATATACACACAAAAGTATTATATAAAATATTAGCCAACTCAATGCAGCAAAATATAAGAGATGTAAAAAGCCTTTATGCAATAAATGCCAAGTGAGTTTAACATCAGAAAATTAATCAGTGTAATTGTAAATTAATGTAATCCCATAACTATGTAATACAAGTTTCTTGGATATGTAAATAGAATTCCTATAAAATCTATAACTATATGCAGAAAGCAGCTTTTAAAATAAAAACTGTGCGTATGTTTTTATATCCATATTCAAGAATATATAGGAATTGTCACATAATATTAGTGACTATTTGACCTCTGCATTAAAACTGATTGTTAGGTCAGAATTTCATCTACATATTGAAAGACTTTTATTTAAAAGCTATTTTACCGTGTGTGACATTTAAAATAGGTCAAATATCATAAAGTTAAAATCTCACCAATAAATACAATATGTCCTAACTGATCCATCATTGATTTTCCAGTTGTTCTTTTTTTTATAGGATTAAATTTAAACTGTCATGGAATGATGGACATGCTCTTTGTTTAGTGTAATGAAATAATTGCATGTTGTCTTTCTGTGCTGTTTATCAATAGCATGGGAATCACAAGCTATATTTTCTTATAAGTAAATTTCCTGAGACTTCCTGGATACTTTAGGTTCTTTGCTTTTTGAATAAATATCGTTTGAAATAATTGCCATCAACTAGGATATAAGCATTTTTTGGTTGTAGACTTGATTTTGTTCTTATTTCAGATTATTTGGTTTACTTTGTGATTAACCTTGTAAATGGCTGTTTATTCATTTAAAAATACACGTAGTAATTTGTGTGGACGATAGAAAGTTCGAGATTATGTGTCAATCAAGAGGGCATATAATTTAACAGTGAATTTGGATTAATGCTGGTAGTATTGACTGCTTGAAGGAGGGGGACCTATCCTCCAGAATAATAATAGTATCTCATACTTGTATAGTGCTTAATGGTCTTAAAAGTACTATTGTATGTGAAGGTACTGTTATGATGAAATTAGATTACATATGGCTGTTTATAAACCCATTTATTCCTGAATCCATCCAGAATGTTAGTAAAAACTACGAGTGCTATCTGCACAGTGCTGGCACACTTTTGCTCTGGTACCCAGCTTTGCTCTTATCTGCGGTAGTTCAAGGATTGAAAATATGTAAGTAGATGAACTTCTGTATATGAAGACGTTTCCATTCCCAGAAGAAAATAATTCTTAAGAGTTCATGTGTAGTCAGCTACAGAGTAGTAATCTCATGAATGAGGGGATGTGGAAAGAAGAAATTAAATGACGTTTTGTACTTCATCCTTTGGCTGTGGACTGTACTGCTGGGTACTTTCCAAATTAGAATCTTTTATAGAGAATTGTATTTGATGCTTGCGACATTTTCACTCAGACTCTGGTGACATCATTTGAGTGGCTAGTAATACTTGAAACCATAATAATACGTATTTGTGAAAGTCCCTGAATAAGATTGTGCTGGTGGGGGCAAGGTGGGAGAGAAGCCTTTGTCAGAGACCTCAGTGAGAATGATGAATCTAGACACGTTACTGTGGAAAATACCTTTGATACGTGTGTTACTTTATGTTTGAATTCTCACAAAATTCACCTCTGTCTGATTTCTGAGTTTAGTTGGGAAAGGGGATTGAGAGATTTAAGTAGAAGACTACCTGATGTTATCGTTCTTTCAATAATACAACAAAGAGTTGAAAACTTGAAAGCTGAAGGAAATGAAACACAGCCACCTAGTGGATGCAACTTTAAGAGCTATAACCATAGTTAAAGTACCATGAGCTCACGTAAAAATCTCTCCAGGGTCATTATTAGGCATTCAAGCTAATCATTTCTTATCACACAAAAGGGCAATGTACATTTGTATTACAGAATATTTTAAAATTTTAATGAGAGGGAAAACATTGCATATGGCTGTTGGACTACAGCATTATGTAAATAGCCTCAGAAGTCAATTGAACTAGCATAACATTATAGAGAGCTGTACACATTTTCAACTATAACATGTATTAATCAGATTTTTAAAATGTTAAAATTCCAGTAGTGTGTTTTGAACACGTGTATATTCTGAAACATCGCTGGAATATCTAGACCCCTCTTGCCTATAAGGGCAAGTGTCTATAAGACCCTTGAACAACATGGGTTTGAACTGCATGGGTCCACTCACATGTGGATTCTTTTCAATATGTTGGAAAATTTTTTGGAGCTTTTGGACAATTTGAAAAAAACTTAGAGATGAACCGTGTTGCTTAGAGATACTGAAAAAATTAAAAAGTTAGGCATTTTAAGAACACAGTATCTAATACATGTAACATACAAAATATGGGCAGTAGACTATTTGTGTTATCAGTAAGGCTACAGTAGACTACAGTCAACAGCAGGCTATTGGTAGTTAAATTTTTGCAGAGTCAATAATTAATTAATTAATTAATTAATTAATATTTTTTTTGACCGTGCATGGGTCAATGTCCCTAACCCTCATGTTGTTCCAGGGTCTATTGTGTAAATTAACCTATTGTGGTCGAAGCACAGATTTAGTTACTCGTGGTCTACTATAAAATAAATTTTTGTCATTGTTGGCTTATAAACTTAAATGAATTATTTTCCAGGAGCAAGATAATGCTGTGCAAAATATGCACAAGAAGGTAGAGAAATTAGAAGCTGAACACATGGACTGCTCTGACCTTTTACGGCAACAAACGAGTGAGCTTGAATTTAGCACTCAACGAGAAGAACGTCTTAGGAAAGAGTTTGAGGTATATTTTTCTCATTCTTTTAAAACATATATATGTTGGGGCACCTGGGTAGCTCAGTTGATAGGGTGTCCGACTCTTGATTTTAGCTGAGGTCATGATCCGAGGGTCATGGAATCAAGCCCTGAGTCAGGCTCTGTGCTGAGCATGGAGGCTGCTTAAGATTTTCTCTCTCTCCCTCTGCCCTGCTCCCCTGCTCACACACTCTCTCTCTCTCTAAAATAAAAATTAAAAAAAAACCCAAACATATATATGTTATCCAGTCAGTAATTTAAGGCCAGAGAAGGTTTTACTCTGTAATAAAATATAAAACTAATTTTTTCAGCATTTATTTATATTGAATATTTGGATTCTTTGAAAACATTGTGTCTGAGTAAATTATATTTTTCCCCTAATTTTTAAAATCTATCCATTTTTAACAATTCTCATGGAATATTTGGAAAATATGAGGGTAATTGTTTAAACTGTAAGGTTGAGGAAGCAACACAGGAAAGGTTTTTGCACACATAATATTAAATTCTAATTTTGTAGTTTGAATCCTATACTAGCTGCATGGTTTTGTGGGTAAGACTTTAAATGGGAAAGAAGCATCAATTTACAAATTAAAAATGTGATTTTTATGAGAGAATGATACTGATGATCAATTTAACTAATTTTGAGAGAAATCTATTTGTTCATTCTTCTTTTTAAAATTTCCTTTTGTTTGTGGGAAATGAAGTATTTCATTGATAAAGAAGTTTTGTTTTAAACATAATTTATAATTGTCATTAGGTAAATAAACATTTATAAAGAGAATTCCATGATAAAATGCTAGAGATGCTCTGGTTAAACTCACTGCTGTCATTTAACGTTGTTCTGGAAATTTTAGCCAAAGAAGTATATGATGGAAGAAGAGCAATAAGAATTATTATTGTGGGAAAGAAGGAGGTATGACTCTTATTATTTTCAGATGATACACTTATACCCTAAATAATCAAGAAAATCAACTTTAAAAATATTAATACTAGTAAGAACATTCAGTAAGGAGGCCAGAAAGAAAATAATATGTAATAATTATATATACATTCTTATATAGCAGCAATAATCAGAGAATAATATATTTAAAGTATTTAAAAAGTTTTCTTCACAGCGACAAAAATAAGAATATAATCAACTACAAACATCTTACAAGTTACAAAAAGTAACAGAGTCTTCAAAGAAAATGGTGAGACATTTTGGGAACACTCAACCCTATAATGATATGAATCCTCCCTAGGTTATATTATGGGGTAAAACAGTTCCAATAAAAAAATTCAGTGGAATTCTTTGGGGAAGATAGATTCAGAAATTCATGTTGAAGACTAAAGAGCTACCCGAGAGTCTCTAAAACATTTTGATAAGGGTAATGAGCGGGGACTTACTATTTCAGAAGTTAATATGCATTATAAAGCTTTAGTATTGTATTGCTTATGGTTATTTGGTCGTATGCAATAGAAACCAACTTTGGTTAGCTTAAATAGGGAATTCAGTGAAGAATATGGGAATCATATTTGCAGAATCAGGATGAAACCTGGGGAATTAGGCTCAGAAATGAATCCCAGAGCATCTCCAGAAGGCTTGGGAACAGAAATGATGGATGAAATTGAGATGAATTAGTATCCATAATTTTTATTTTTATCAGTAACAATTTGGTATCATTCGTTTTGTACTTGTATTTAGGATTCAAGTCCCAGAGAGAAAATATTTGACTGGAAGAGGTAGTTTGCCCCAAATAAATCTTTCTCAGTTCTACTAAAAATAAAGCCCAGGGGCACCTGAGTGACTCAATCGGTTAAGTGTCCGACTCTTGATTTTGGCTCAGGTCATGATCTTGTAGTTCGTGGGTTTGAGCCCTGTGTTGGGCTCTGCATTGATATTGCAGAGCCTGCTTGGGATTTTCTCTCTCACTCTCTCCCCTCTCTGCCCCTCCCCCCACTTGGACCTCTCTCTCTCTCTCTCTCCCTCAAAATAAATAAATTAAAAAAAAAAAAATTAAAGCCCACAGAGCACCTAGTTGGTTAAGCATTGAATTCGGCTCAGGTCATGATCTTGCAGTTCACGAGTTCAAGTCCTGTGTTGGACTCTGTGCTGACCTCAGAGCCTGGAGCCTGCTTGATTGGTGACTCCTTCTCTCTCTGCCCTCTCCTGCTGGCACCCTCTCTCTCTCTCTCTCTCAAAAAAATAAGTAAACTTTAAAAACATTAAAAAAAAATTAAAGCCCCAAAAAGAAATTTTTATAAAGAAAATTAGGGTCCAGTACCAAAAGAAGGGGAAAGAGATTGTTGAGTGGCTAAAAAGTACGGTAACTCTAAGAGCAGACTAATGGCATAGAATTGAAAGGCTGGTAGTAGACTTGTTGAATATATATAAAATCTAGTATCTTAAATCAGTGAGGATAGGAAAGATTATTCAGTGAGTCATGTTGAAACAATTGGTTAACTCTTTGGGACAAAATATAGTTAGATTCCCATCTTACATTATATTCTAAAATAAGTTCCAGTTGGATTAAAAAAGAGTAAAACATTAAAAACTGATAAACTAAGAAGAAGAAAATTTAAGTCCTTTTGCTCTCTGAGTGCAGTATGACTTACTACTAATCGTAAAAGCAGAGGAACAAAATCATAAAGAAATGGACTTATAGCTTTGATTATAAAAAATTAAAGTAATATACAGTAATACCTTGGTTTGTGAGCATAATTTGTTCCGGAAACATGCTTGTAATCCGAAGCACTTCTATGTCAAAGCGAATTTCCCTATAGGAAATAATGGAAACTCAGATGATTTATTCCACAGCCCAAATATATTCATATAAAAATGATTACAATACTGTAATATAATACAAAATAGCAGAGAAAATATGAAGAAAAATAAACCTACACTTAACTTTGAAAGCCTTCATGGCTGGTGTGAGGGAGATAAGAGAGAGAAGGGTTTTTGTGTAGGACAACTTTCACTATCACTAATGGAATCACTGCTATCTGTTGGCTCAATGGAATCTTTGTCTGCACGGGGGCCCTTGTATATGCTCCCACGGATGTTGACTTCAGTATAGTATTAATAAACTCTTGTCATAGACTGTATTTAATGTAACTGGCAATAAGGCAGCAGAGGAAAGGGTCTATATCTGCAGGCAGCCTGACCTAGAACCAAGCAAAGCATTCCTAAGCTTACTCTTGAATGGAAAAGGAAAGGACGGTCCAAAGGTGCTCTGAGGTGACAAAACATACTCTAGTGCCGGTTGTGGACACACCTGCCAATGTTCTGAAAAATCACTGATTTCTGCCAAACACCACGGCCTGAGATCAGGCATCTGAACATGGGAGATCACCCACAATCCTGCAGTGAATGACAGAAAGAGACGAGAGAGAGAGAGAGAGAGAGAGAGAGAGAGAGAGAGAGAACCATTGGCTTAGTTGTGATCATGTGAGTCTCGGCATCAAGTACTACTTGTATTGCAAGACATCGTTCATTTATCAGGTTAAAATTTATTAACATGTTTGCTAATCTTGCGGAACACTTGCAGAATGAGTTGTTCGCAATCCAACATTTTACCGTATAAGTAAATTCTCCACTTCAAATAAAATAAAAAGGCAAACAAATGAGAAAAGTATTTACAGGAAAGGGTAAATAAAACTCTATCTCTGTATCTCTCTATGTAAATCCCACACTATCTGATGAGAAAAAGGAGAAAACCTTTTTGAAAAGAAAAATCTACCAAGGACATCAAAGAAGATGTGAAAGATGTTCATATGGACAACAAACACATGAAAAATGCTTAATCTCACCATGATGTAAGAAAGGCTATAACACTCATTATGCTAAGATTAAAGAAAAAGAAAGCACCCAGTGTTGGCGAGGGTGATTTTAAAACTTCCTTTACCTTGCTGGTGGGAGTGTAAAGGCATAAAGCCTTGAAGGAGGTTCATTTGTCGGTGATCCTTTGCTCATTCTCATCGTCTCTGTAAGTTTTCTTGGTCCTCTGTTTTTTTCAAACATTGTTTTACATGGAAAGCTTTAAACAGATTTTAAAAGATGAACAGAATAGTATAATGAACCTAATGTACCAATCACCAGCTTCAACAATGATTTATATATGGCCAATATGTTATCATTTATACCCCCAGTCACTTTCCCCCCTTCTATATTACAGTGAAATGAATTTCAGGCATCAAATTATTTTAACCATAAGTATTTCATTGTGACTAAGAAATAAGGTGTCTTTATTTACAGCCACATTATCAATATCAAACCTGAATTGACAGTGATTACTTAATTCAGTCAAATATCCAGGCATTATTCAGACTTCAAATTGCTTCATAAACAGCAAAAACGTGTGTAAGATTGGGGTTTAAGTCAGAGTTCCAGTTAGGTCTATACGTTACAATTGGTTGATATGTTTTGTGAATCTCCTTTTTTTTTTTTATTAAAATTATTTTTTTAATGTTTATCTATTTTTGAGAGAGAGTGAAAGAGAGACAGAGTGTGAGCTGGGGAGGGGCAGAGAGAGAGGGAGGCACAGAATCTGAAACAGGCTCCAGGCTCTGAGCTGTGAGCACAGAGCCCGACGCGGGGCTTGAACTCACGGACCATGAGATCATGACCTGAGCTGAAGTCAATTGCTTAACCAACTGAGCCACCCAGGCACTCCATGAATCTCCTTTAATCTACAGATTCTCCATCTATAGTTTTGTTTGTTCCTTGTATTTGTAAGGACTCCAAATTATTTGTGGTATAGAGTTCCCACTGACTCTGCAGTTGCAGAACATCAAACATAAACAATGTTTCTTAGTATAGATCTTTTTTATTTAATGCAGGGGTGGGGGGCATGGTGAGCATTTTAGTTAGGAAACTCATGTCCTTCATTTTGAGGAATTCTTTTGTGTTATTTCTGCATGATTTTTTTCTCAGGGTTTTTTTTTTTTGTTTGTTTGTTTTTGTTCTTTCTCAGGCTTTTATTATTCAAATGTTAGACCAACTGGATTGAT